ATACATGGAAAGGGGTATTTACTTTAAATTGCAATGGAAAACATTTAATAGTTTATTTGTTTATTTAATGTGCAATAGGTATATTAACTTTATACAGATGACAATACCATTAAGCATTTCTGAAAGCTTCTATTACAGCAACACTTAGTCAAATAACTATTTGTTAATTGTTATTGCTAATTGTTAATTTTTGTTTGCAGGAATCGCAGCGTTGATTACGATGGGATTGGTACTTAGAAAGTCTATCAACAAGAAAAAAGTGACACCAATGATCGGAGATAATAAGAAGAATTCTGCACTGGAATTGACTTGGACTTAATTTATCATTACTAAATTATTACTAAATTATGAGAATGATGTACCAATTGCAGTATCGTTGTGAAGTGAAGAAGCAAAAATATATCTCATTCGTATATATTATTCAATATAAATTGATTAAAAGTGCAAACGATTTAAAACATTTTACATAATAATCATACATTTATATGATAACAAACAGTTTTTATAAACGACATATAAGGTAAATAATGTATGTATATGTATGATTTTAAAATCTGGGTATTTATCAATATATAGTTATATCCTTAGTTATTTTCCCAATAGAATAAACATGACTATATTTTTAGGATTGTCTGATTTATTTTATAGTCATTTGTCTTTTGTATTCGATTTCCCGGTATTCAGGTTTCCTCATTTTTGATATTACATTAGTTTTTTATATATATTTTGATTCTCATTTCATGAAAATGAATATTTACGTTTGAATTTTATTGACATACGATATGATCATCTTAGAACGTGTTGAGGCGAAAATTGTCATAAGGGTATATATAGTTTTAGAATAAATAGAGCGAGCTAAGCATTATGACATGATGAAAGCTTTAGTTTTTATTATTATAACTTAGCTGTTTTAAATACTTCATTGTTATACAAAGACATTCTGTAAACAATATACAGTGAATAATTAACAGCAGATCTGTAATAAAATGAAAATGTTGCTTTTATTGAATAAAGCTTATTTCGAAACAAATTACTGTTTCTGTTGTCGTTATTGCTGGATGCAATCTAGGATGTGAAAGAAAATAGTACATAACTGCGCATTATAACATAATGGCTGAGTGGTTTTGTAATGTAAAACATATTCAAAGTAAAAAAAGGTATGAATAAGTGATTATTGTTCAAATTAAATTGCTGCAGCAAATCGTGAAGATCAAAAGATGATCTCTTTTAGTTTTGTCCCTATATTCTGAATGAACAATTCAGCATGTACTTTACAGAAGTTTAAACCTTATACATTTTAAAGTCGTACTACAGTTTTGACAACTAAAGCGCATAATTATGCTATTATCATACAAATGTTCTTGGTTTATTATTTTTCTCAACCATTTTATGTATAACATAAAAGGAATAATCTAATTACAATAAAAGTGAATATGTTCAAAGATTATCTATTCATATTTAGCATTTAATGATTTGTTGTACAATTATTGTTTATCATAGAACTTTTTTTCAAGAAATATTTCATACGAATAACAAATTGAAACATTGCTGTTGTTTCAAATAAATACATTTATATGTCGATTCGAAAACCATTGCATTGAAATAGTATTTAATAAGATTCTTTGCTTTATGTTTAAGCCAAACGTTCAAAGCCTATATTATACTACAAAAGGAATATTCTCTGCATAAATGAATAGAATCCTGGGCTTATCTGACACATTATGTATGATAACACTGAAACTATATCCCATATAAACAGCACTATGTGCACATTTTGAGAAACAGCAGTTAAAGTGACATTAAATATGCTCATTTTTTCATAGTCAAGTTGATCAGAATTGACTTTATTTTTAAAAAGTTTGACTGATAAAATGATGACTGACCAATAGTTTGTTAATGGAAAACGTTCAGGTTCAAATATAAAATTAATTAAAATTCAAAAAGTCTGCCCCACTCTTTTTATAAATTGACTGTTGCAGTTTAATTTCGATGCATATTTACATACATTTCATTGCGACATGTGAGTAATTTATCATTTATACGAAGAAAGTTTAAAAATTGAAAGGAATTATGGTAAGATGTAAACTTATTTTGACTTTCACCTGTTCACTTACTATATACCCTTGGATGGGCATCATGTCACTTTAACATTACGAAATAATGTTCAAGTATTATTATACATAATACATTACTGAAATATTTATAAATATAAAAATCGATCTTAAAGTCTAAACCAATCAAAGACGATTTTCCCACCTTTGTCGTTTTCACTTTTCAAATTTCTTATATAAATGTTCATAACATGGTTTCCTGCTATAAGATTTAACAGTTTACCCTTTACAAAAACAGTCTTAAAATATTATATGAAAACCAAAGAATGCCTTGATACTGTAGTAACAGTACCAGCAGTAGCGGTACCAATTATAGCATAATTGTGTGAGAGTTATTCAATATCAGTACGTGCAAAATGAGTGCAGTACATACTGCAGTATCAGTATATCTACCCGTAATGTATGTCTCTAGTTCTTGGTGAAAACAACCATACAGATATTTCCCATTCAAGAATATTTCAAAAGTATAATAAAACATTTTGGAAATACTCTTCAAAGAGCTAACTGTTGTATTGCACCATCTGAACAGGTCATTATTTTCTATTTGGTGTCTGTCTCTTGTTTCGTAATATTGTGATTGCCTGTAACTTTACAAAGAACTTGTCAGCTCTAGTCAATATTTTTTTCAACTTTACAATAGATTTGAATGGGAAATCAAAAACAAATTGAAAATAAATACATTTTATGTTACAGACATTGTGATTACAATGGCATTGACAATACGCATAAAATAAGGTGACGGCGATTGGCGATTGTTATTCCATGACAAATAATATTGTTGATATACCTTAAACTGTCATTGATAAAGGAAAGAGTCAACATAAAAAACAGTGTTTCTGCCTATCAAAAACTTCTCATAGGTTTCCTTAACATTTTAGCATATTTAATGCTTTGAAAACAATCATCAAAACGACGGAACAAAGTTTTCTGTTATGCCTTGAAAGCGCTTCAAGTTAATCGTTCATATTCGTATATATTCTTTTAAAAAAAGAGTATGTGATATTTCCATTGTTATCTTATCTTGGGGATATAAATTTTCCCGAACCGCACAATTAAAACTAAGCTTTAAGTAGAGGCACAAATAAGGATAAAATTTTACTACAATGTGTAAAGTATGAGATTTGTTTTGACAAATAAGCATTGTTTAAAAATGTTAAATCGTATTATTATAACACTACATTCCATTCTTTACCTTTAATCTTTCTGAAAGAATTTTTAATTAAAATAGTTTGTAGTGTGTATATACGTATTGCCTTTTGAAGGTGCTTTGTGGGGGGATTAACTTTACCTCTTGTGAGATTAAACCTCAACAACTCATTGAAGTGTTATGTCAGATATATCGTTTATAACGTAATTATATGCTTCATGTAATATGATGTAATTTGTTCCGAAAACTTCTTTGTTTGGAATTGTTTACATATTTAGCTAGCTTGTGTATTTGTAATGGGGATTTTTAAAGAGAGTAATATGATTGTATTTTTACCAAAATAGAGACAATCTGTTTATTGCTATATCTGATGAAGTATGCTTTCCTCCTAAATACGAACATTTATTTCTTGAAATAATAATAAACACCATTCTTATAACAGTCATCAACATTTTATCATAACATTTCTTATTTTCCGAAAAGCGACTCTTTATCCTCCTTTATTATTTTTAAATGGAAGAGTGTGTTACAGTTATAACAATAAATGCTTAATCGCGAAAAATGTTTGTTTGATGAATGAATGAATGATTCTAGTATTTAATGAATGAATGAATGAATGAATGAATGAATGAATGATTCCTGAATACTTAAAATTTAATAACATCGAAGTATAAAACATTTTACAGCTCAGAGAGATCATAATTTGTCCTTCAATAACATGTGTATATAATCTCTTTCATAATTATTTGATACAAGAAAAAACTGTTTAGAGTTCATAACATTACTTATCTAACTCTTACTTGATTTTATGATAGGTCGATATTTTTATCAATACATATTTGAACTGATGTAGCATACAAAAATCTCTGACAGAGGTGAAGAGATTACTTTACCTTGTTTTTTTATGCCAAAACAGATCAACAATATTAAACAAGTCAGTTTCTCTCTTTATAAAGGACTTCAAAATTTGAAAATAACTCTATTTAAACTTATACAAAGCGAGAGAAACAAATCACACAAACAAAATCTTGAAATAAATATCTTAAATTGAATTACAATCGTGTAAAGGGTAAATGCTAGTGCCTTTTAAAGGGCTACAAAACACTTATCAATAACGAAACTCTAGCTTCCTGCAACGTATAAATTTAGCAACTAATATCATAATAAAAGACGTTTTTTTTAATAAAAATAAAAACGATATATATCACAACATATACCTATAGCCCATTGCATGAGATTTCTTCATTTCGGGACTTTTCTGGGGCATTCCAAACATATATTTGATTATATTATGCATTTCACTTAAACAGTATTTTCTTTAAGAAAAATTTCTATTATCAACTAATATCACACATCTGATATAAACCTGTATCTTCATCAATTATTTAATGCTATTAACCCATTAAGCATATTTCAAAAACTTGGTTATTTGTGCAAAAATACTTACCGACTAAAACTTCTGAATTAACTTGTTTATTATACGACTGCAACATTTTCAAAAAAGGAGATAACAATGTGAATACAGTAATATAATTGTTGAACCACATGGAACAAATGAGAAAATAATAGAGCAATACAATCAGTCGATTTTTTATCAATGTTTTAACCTTTTTAGATTGTACTTGAATGAAATCCCTAACGGTGATATCGTTTAACCTGTGACTTTGCGAGATTTCAAGGAATTTAAAATGTGTCAACGATTCAACAAACCGATTATTATCCGTTATTGTCTCAAATATCCGTTTGCATTACGCTAAATTGCAAAGTAGTACGGTTCTGAGCGCGAAACAAAACGCGTTTGAACCATTGAAACGTTTGAATATTCGGGGTAAAAATCTGCTGTTGCTCATCTTTGACAAAAAAAAGGAAATTAATAATGAAACCGTCAGCGTCTGCACTTTTGATGTTATCCATGCTGTTGTCTTTAAGTTCCAACTCAATGGGGGAAATGAATGTTGGATATAAAAACTCTAATAGACAAGGCAAGACATGTGTTTAACAATTTAAAAAAAAATTAAGAAAGAATCAATCAATATGCTTGCTTTTTTTTTCAAATGAGTTATGACATAAATTAGTTTCTTATCAACTATATCAAATAATAAACTGGTAATTATGCGTTTTACTAAAATTTGTTATATGATTTTATTAATTTCTTACTGCTGTTTCAGATTTGACAAATATATTTATGATCCCTTGAGCTTAGTGTTATTTCTAGTACAGAACAATATTTTTTGATGTATTCATCGTACAAAGTACACACATGTTGATAATAATTATGCATTTCACATTTATTGATATTATCATACTTTCAGATTTGAAACATTTTCTTGGTTCTCAAGAGAGGCTATCAAAGGTAAGGCAACATAAAAATTGGATATCCTTATTATAACGAATTTTTTCTATGACTACGAAAAATAAGGGATGGGTAAAATGAATCATATTTTTGATCAAAATTGGATTCAAAATTACACTTTTTTACGATGTAAAGTTTGTTTTAAATAATAGTTTCAATCATTATTACATTTCAATTATTATATTAGGTGTTCATAGATAAAGGCATTTTTATTTCAGAGAAGTACGTCAAACATTGTTGACATTGCAATGTTTACACAAAGACCTAACCAAGTTGGAAAATATTCCATATATGTTGACAGCACAATGAGTAGACTTATGATAGAAATAAAAGCTGATAGGTCAACACCAGTTAGTTCACTTCTTAAACCGTCAGGTAAATCTTTGTTGTTTTTGCTTAGAAAGTGTATATTATTCATGAATTTTTTATGTTGAAAAACTAGAGATTGTTTAATCCTTTAGATATTGATAGGTTGTCTGAAAGAACTGTAAAAATGTATAGCAAGTCTATTATTCATGATTTTTTTATGTTGAAAAACTAGAGATTGTTTAATCCTTTAGATATTGATAGGTTGTCTGAAAGAACTGTAAAAATGTATAGCAAGTCTATTATTCATGATTTTTTTATGTTGAAAAACTAGAGATTGTTTAATCCTTTAGATATTGGGTTGTCTGATAGAACTGTAAAAATGCATAGCAGAACATGATTTCTATTTTCAATTAATTTGTATTCAAGATTTCTTAAAAATGACACAATGGATTCATGCATATTAAAATTGTGCTCACAAATATAGGGCGAAAATGGAGCGGGGAATATTAAACTGATTCACACCAAGTTTTGTAAAATAAAAGCTTCAGTCAAATAAGTCTACAAATCTAGTTGGGTAATCTGGCGGTAGATTTTCATTGGAAAGTATACGAAATGTGGATATGATAAGGTGTTTGATTAGAATACAAAACAAAACGAAATCCTTTGCACTTGGGAAATTAATAAAGTAATTTAGTATGTTCGTATGAACGTCAAAATACAGTTTCGTTTACATTTTGCTACATTTATCACACCTTTTTTCTCTTCAGCGCTTTTTAGGAGACAATTATTTCAAATGTTCTAAATCCATAATTCCAAATTAAGAGACAAAAACAACATTTCTGTGGAAAGAAAATGTAATCATTTTTGAAGCACAATGTGTCAGTAACAAATATATATGCCAAAACTGACATAGCTCAGTAATAGAAATATTTACTCTAGTTTTAAACATTGAAATCAGAACATAAATGCAATATTTTTGTTTGATCTGGTAGAGTAAAGAGAAAACTAATAACAAATGCCATTCTATACATTTTGGGAGTTTTTCAAAGTTTCTCGAAATTCTTTGGAATAGTCTAGTCTTCACTGTAATACTATCACAAGTATTGTGCTTTATGCTAATTTATTAACACAAAATACTCTGTAACAATGCTTTGAACTACAAGTAATGATGGGAAAACAATATACGAAAATGAAAATGTTATAATTATAGATGCAGCACTTTGATTTTCATTTCGTAGGTGCACTAGGTCCACATCCAAAGCTAAATGGAAATGCCCAAAATGGAACAGTAACAGCGAGGTTTGACGTCGCAATATCACAAGTAAATAAATCATTATATTATGTTAATTAGCACTGCGAAATGAAATATTGGTAGTTTTGTTTTTAGTCTGATTTATATCTTCTATCATGAAATCATTTCATATTAGCACTTTTTGCATGACACGATTATGAACGTGCTCAATCAAACGGAGTTTCCGACATCTTATGTTTTTGCCATGTATGGAGAAACCTTACTATTTCTATTTTTATCTATTGAAATGGTAACATTTAAATAAAAAATATAAACTTCTAAAAATTCGTTCGTTAATATTTTACAGGCAGACTTTGGATTGTGGAAACTAGAAAAATTAGATGCAAGTGCATGGACTGTAAAAATTCAAGGAGAAAGCACAATGGACTTCACCTACCAGTTTTTAAAAGGAAACAAAACACAAACCGCAATAAAAGGAGATCCGGTTCAAGGTTTCTAAAATTTCATTTTGTGATTATTTCTGAACTCTGAGAGTTATGAGCATCAAATTTCAACCTGCTTGTTCAATGTATAACAGTTGACAAATATTTCTTTCTGAACCACTGAAGTAATTTTCGTACAAAGAAATCATAAATAAAGTTGACTTTATACTGAACAAAGAAAGCTAGAAAATCGTACTCACGAGACTTAGATATAGAGCATGTTTCTTTTATATTAGTATTGTAACTAACCGTTGCCCATGATAAAACTTATAAAATTATTAAAAATATACTGCAACACAACGTTTTCATTTAATTTGTTCTATTTTTTGTTTTACTTATAAGGTGAAACCTATAAGACTGTGGTAAATATTGCGGAATATGGTCAAGTTAAAACAGTTGACATATTCCTTGTTTTTGTTACTGAGAAGTTTACGCCTGCAGATATGATGTTCCCAGTAGTCGCCAAAGGGAATGGGAAATATGAACTAGCCAAGCTGAAAATGCTCGACAGAGTACGTAGCTCGTTTAAATACCAATTGAAACATGATAGATTTATCTTACTGCGAAATCATTATTATTCGTTGGGAACTAATATTCGTGGTTTTCTTCGATAAGTCAATCCATGAATTAAAGATCCAACGAGATTTCATTCCGTCTGCTGTAAGATTATTTTGCATCCCATTTTTTCCATTTTGCCAGCTCACCAATTTAAGTACCGACGAAAATATTCTTTGTGATAAAACAACGACATATCATGCCCACGAAATTAAGTGAATTCACAGTGTTTGTGTAATATGCAATTCTACAACCTTCCAACAATTAAAATATGCAATAATTTTCTAGAACAGTAGTTTAAATCACATTTTGGTAAAGATATTGAAACGTACCCGGGGTCTGCTAGCCCGGACACACTTCAATATCAACACGTGGGTTCTTCTCAAACACACGTAAATGGATAAGGGAAAATAGGGACACAAGGACTAAAAGATACGGACACCTGAAATAAGATTAACACAACAATTTATTAAATATACATTTCACAAACAATGAAATTGATATATAGTATATTCTGTGGATGGCTCTGGCTTTGGCTCCTCGTCATAGGTCAGGAATATTCTTCTGTTTCGTCTAGAATAATGTATAATATAAGATGTAATGAAAGGCTTGACAAATACGGTGTCACGTCTTGCCTGTGGTCTGGTACGAATTCTATGGTAGGAATTGCCATGAAATGCTATCAGGTTGATGGGGTATCTAAAATGGTAACTACAAAATACAGTGGTGTTCTACCCTGGTATATGGGTATCACTATAAAATATGGGGTTATGGCTATGGAAACTTGGTCTTCAGTCAGGATCTATCATAAATAGAAAATAATGCAAAACTGCCAAACTAGATGATTTAATATAAAGCTTCTATATGAACTATTTCTGGCACAAAGTATTCTATACCTTTCTGGTGGCTGGAGATACATCCATATTCAATATAGTATAGGTGTGGTCTGGTGGCTATCTACCAAGGTACTGACAATTTTGGCAGATTCGGGCTGCTATTTATAGTCTGGGACGCTGGGTGGCTAGCTTGGCTAGGGTGCCTAGCTTGGCAGTATCGTCATCGTCTTCGATGACGTCACTGCCAATCTCGCGCGGGCAGAAATTTAGCCAATGCCAGCTGCCATGTTTAAATTGGCAGCGTGTGGCTAATTGAACATTAAAACGGCTACAACGTAGAAAATAAGTTATTTTAAGTAATATAACCACCGTAAATATTAAAAGGATGAAGTTATCTGTACATGTAGTGTATGTTTTGATGATTAAAAGTTGATGTCATGAAGTACAGTTAATTACTTTAGTACTTGAGTAGTTTCCGGATACGGGTTTATTTTCGGACGTAAAATGATGGGCCTGATCGTTACAATATATTGTTTTCATTACAGAAGTTCATGATAGGGATACAAGGAAAAGATAACTCGAGCAATACATTTCGACGTATAAAGTTTGTAAACCCGGTGTCTTTGTTGCTATCAGTGCCAATGCTTACAGGTTTGTATCTTACTCTTTCATTCGACTGTTACACAGTTGTTAAACTTTTTCTTCTAAATGAAAGTAGCGTTTCTTGTCAATATAGTTTTGTTGTTGTTTTTTATTATTATTACCTTGTTTTCTATACGCTGTCCTTATTTCTTACATTCACTGTTTAGTAATGTATCGTCCGGCGCTGATAAAACATAGATAATGTTTCACACATTTTATAACACGTTGACAAATATATTCCTAAATAAGTAAACCAGATTGTTCGTGGTGAACAATATAATCAAACACAGTTGAGTCTTGTTTTCACTTCTTTCCTTTTCTGAATTGATAGGAATGCATTTTATTTTTTTGCATATATTATTTACCATTGGTAATAAAAGTTGTGTAGCAATACAAATGCGCGGTTTTATCATACATTATTTTTTTTTTACATATTTTTAGATCCAGCTACTAAATTATACGAACAGACAAGATTGGACATACTGATTACTGTAACTAATATCATGCCAAAACAACAAGATGTTGATATCAGCATCACAGACACCCAGGGTTTAGCTCAGGAACCACGTACTATTTCTGCAACTATTTTACCTGGTGGGAACTATACCGCAAAGTTTGTTCTCGATGGCGGTCTTCAAGGGGTTGAAACGTAAGTTGAATAAAATGATTTTTTTGTGAATGAATGACATTAAATGATTAAGAAGTAACTGTAGACATATTATAATACAAACATCACATTGCGCTGTTACTATATTTCTTAATTTTAATTATTTCATGAGAGAAATTATGGTGTTAATCATTGATACATGTTTGTGCGTTATGTTATGATAACATAAGAGCCTCTCTTTTACAGGTCTGTAACAATTGCAGCTAAACCTTTCCTCGGCCGTGGACAAGAAAGTATGGGACCATCTATCACGAGAAATTTTACAGTAGAAAGTAATAAAACGGTACGTGCTGTTTTGAATATCATTCACAAACTAATTTGCTTAATACTTGTACTAAGGCCATACAGTCTATCAAACTTTTACATGTGAAGGAAACTTTAAGACGCCGAATCATTTCAGATAATGCACATGATGATATTCATATATGAATATATTTTCTTGTCAGTCCGGATTAATGACTTCTTTACGAATACGAGTATACATTTTAAATAAAAGAAAAAAAGAATGTTAGGAATATCATAATTATATTTTTCTTTTCCCTTTTTTATCTTAGTTTTGCTAAGAGCTAATCTTTAAGAAGAAATAATGTCACTAAAGGTTCGTATGCCAATGAGATATTACATATTGTATTCAAATGTGTTTCCTTAGAAACAATCTTTCTGTTGAATATTACAATATCGTAAGTTTAAATGGAAATAAAATTTGAGTTTACTCAAATGCGTATTGGAAAATATGGCGTGAAATGATTTATTCAAATGTCTGATTATTTTCCTCACTCACAATAAGAATACCATGATCTCTGATTGATACTAATCCAGTAACGATAGAACGACTAACATTTATTCTTATATTTCAGACATCAACTTCCAAAATCACTACTACAGTAACAACTTCCACGGTTACATCTAGGTTAACAACACTCGCAACAACAACTTCTGCTAACATCATAGCAACGAATCATGCACAAAAGTCTGACCCAGTCACGACACAGGCAGGTAGCAAAACCGTGTCCGCAAATAGAAAGGCAGTCACGATGGCACCAAATAATGAAAATAAAGAGCCCTCGTTTAGTAAGGGAGACTTGTTTGGTGTTGCCTCGATTTCTGGGGTGTCTGCTGGGGTGCTTATAGGTAATATATTTAATGCAAAGTATTATAACTTAAATTGTTTAACAAATATTTATTTTTATATGATGTTAAGTGTTTTTATGAAAACAAAATCATTAAATCTTCAGTGTTGTTATATTTTTCTGGTTCTTCGGGATCATTGATTCGAACACTTGTAAGTGGGTACCGCTCAAGCCGGTGCTAGGGGGGATTGAGGGATGTTGCACTTTTTTATTTTCCCTCATGCACAGATTCAATCAATCCGAGTCTGCAATATTCATGTAATTATGTTGCGAATCATTATCCCGATGGATCACATTTTGTCCAAATTTTCAATAGTAATCCAAAATAATAAAGATGAAAAATGCTTGCTACGTTTTTGTGGAACAGTCTTATTTAGAACTTAACATTGGATATATGGTTTACTGCTTGCTTTGAAGTAAGAAAGTAATGACAAATTTATTACGCATCAATAATATAATATCTATCATGATTATCATTAAATACCTTTCATTAGTAGTTTTAAATGTGAACGCTAGACAGACAAGAAAACAGTTATTATTTTTATTAATTCAAATAAATGTACATTTAAATTTCGTTCAATTGTATTTAATGCTAACTATTTTCTTACCTTCCCTACCTTCTTATTTGGTCTTATTATGTGTATTACGCAGGAGTAGCAGCGCTGATCACGATGCGTTTAGTGTTCCGGCAAGTGATCAACAAGAATAATGTAAAGCCGGAAACCGACGGAAAATAAAAGAATTTGGTACCGGATAATGACCTAGCAGTGACATTCTTACAGTTTTGTTTCAACATGCTTTTTTTGTTTATGATAAAGTAGCAAAAACATTAGCCAAAGTATCATTCTATTAGAAATTGCAATATTGGATAACACTGATTGACTAATACGTGTTATGCTTATTTACTTAAAACATAAATTTTGTTGTAATTAAAAGTGTATCTAAATAAATAATCGTATTCTTAGTACCACTATTCAGATTTGTCCAAATCAATATCAATGATATACAGTATGTTATGTTAGCTTTCCTCATATTTTTTTCGTTTTATCAGACTTTCATGTATCTTACATTTGTAAAAGGTATTTCAATTAAAATGTATTTTGTTATTTTCATTTTTAAAACAGTAACATTCATACGTAACTTAAAAGAATAATAATTAAGACTTGTAGTTATTATTACCAACATAATAAATTAGTAACTATGTATTTCTTCTATGTGTTTCAATAAAAGTTATCTATGAAACTTGTCCTTAAATTTTCAATCATTATTTTGTGTTTTTATGTAATAGTTTTCGTATTTTAAACCTATAAATACTATTCTAAGAGTAATTCAACTCAGACCTGAGTATCAAAATTATTTCTTAAAAACGTAATGACAAAGCTTAACCACAAAGTTATTTTTTTTAACTGTTTTTACTTTCAATCAGAGTTTAGAACAGATATTAAATTGCTTGTCATTCAAAAACGCTTATTTCATTTCTATTTCATAAAAGTGATTTTCCATCAACTCAACAAAAGATCATATACAGTATAAAAGTATATCCTTACAATAATAAATAGACATAAAAGTGAAGCTTAATGCATCAAGCTTCCTATTTGAAAATATCGATCTGTATAGAACTACCGGGTCTATTAAGTAAGAGATCAAATATAATAATATGTTTTTCAGGTGTATGTTTTTAATAAATTATGACTGAATTTAGAAAGTAACAAATCTTTATCTACCCGGTAACTTTGGAGAAAGCTAATAATAAGCAAATTGTTAACGCGAAATGTATTTTGACATATTTTAGTTATATTCCGATGAATTATGGGTGCTTGCGTGTATGTTTCAGCATTTTTTGTTGGGACACAAAATATTTTACTGTTTCGAACTATTTATAAATTTTCATTAAAATAGGACGTTCGGACGCCTTTGCAATGACAAAGCATAACATATTTGATACTGGGGCATCTTAATATTCCAGTTTTCATTAGTTGGTATGACAAAAGATCGTGATAGTTGTGAAGTTTTCCTTGTTCCCTTCTAAGCAAAACCAGATCCCGATATGTTCCATCCATTGCAAATCTTTGAGTTTCTCTTCACCAAAATTGCATGAAAAGTGTAGAAGTGCAATATTTTTGCAGTTCTTATATGACTTGGTTCAACTCAACATCTAAATACATAAAAGTTTCAGACGTTGGAAGATCGTGCGAGAGAAAAGGAGTGCTAGATATTAAAAGAAACTGTAAGGCTCTTGTATTTTTGGAGGGTTTATATGCGTTTCCAATCGGATAACGATTTTTGACACACCTCTCAGTAACCGTTATGACAACTTTCTATTACAATAAGAACTGTCAAGTAGTTGTATTGATGAAGTGGTAGCTTTTTATCCTTTCCAGTTGTAAATGTAAATGGCCGATGGTTCTATGTTGGTGGGTTTTGTTTGTGTTGCATTGTAGGACGTCGCCTTGCCTTGTTGATCTTTGCTCTCATACTTTACAATATCTAGAGTGTAAGTTTTCTTTTTGCGTGCACACCTATCCTTGTTTAAATTGTTTTATTGTAAATTACAGTAATTGTTTCTTCACAATGAAAGTTTGTCCATAAGTGTAAGAATTCTCGTGATATTTTTAAGCGCTTTATAACCATTGCGTATTAATTAAGGAAACGCAAAGACGTGTTTGTGGAGCTTCACCTTAGGTGGAAAATGTAAGAAATCAAACTATATCAATGATTCATGTTAATATCAATCATTGATGTTAATACTTTATAGTTATGCAAATAATAAGGACATCAGCTTCGGAAGGGCAAGGATGTTTAAACTAGGTTGATAGAATAAACTTTCTTATTCAAATGTGTTTAGCATTTGACTAGAATACACGGAGTTATTCAAATATATAAGTTTTCCAATTTTATTTACCCTGTTACCAAAATATTATAAGTTATTCAATTACATTAAGCCTGTAACTAAAATACACGAAGTTATCAAATTTTAATTAGCCTGTAACCAAAATACACTAAGTTATTCAATTACATTAAGCCCGTTACTAAAATACACGAAGTTATGCAATTTTATTTAGCCTGTTACTAAAATACATGAAGTTATGCAAATTTATTTAGTAAGTTACCAAAATACACGAAGTTATGCAAATTTATTTAGTAAGTTACCAAAATACACGAAGTTATGCAAATTTATTTAGTAAGTTACCAAAATACACTAAGTTATTCAAATTACTCAGCCTGTGTGTTAAATACACTATGTTATTCAAATTACTCTTGAAATATTTTACCCAATTTTATTTAGCCTGTTACTAAGATACACTACTTTTATAAATTCATTTAGCCCCTGACTAAAATGTAGCTGACGTATCACTATTGTTATTATTATCGTGCAAAAATGCGATAAAACATGGTCATCTACTAATAACTGTTCCGGTGATTATATGCTACATACGGGTTTCAAGATAGATTATGCTGATAGTATATATCTATTTTCAGAAGATGGATACTTATCCTTTTTATTGATATAAATTCGACTGTTTGTAATTTTAAAAACCCGAACCATCACAATCATGCTAAATATCAATGATAGTGTTTTGTTTGATTTTTCTAAAAATAACAATGACATGAACGTATTATTTTATTATTTGCTCTAATAAAAATGGAAACAAATTAGAAAAAAAAGTATTTTATTTTTAAATTCTTTGTGTGATTTAAGTTATCTTTCTATTTACGTGTGCCGTTTCAGTTTATCACATTTTTTTAAGCAACATGTTGAATTTATCAATTATTTGTGATGGAATACATCAGTCTGTCATATATCATTTACGGAGGTCACCGAAACAAAATTTAATAAATACTACTCATTAGTTAAATCCACGTTAATGATAATTTGTATTGTCATAAGAGTGCATTCTTATTTTTCAACATTTATATTCACGAAAGTGTTGTAAAATGTCTCTATTCTAAATGATGCTTTCGGTTTTGTGGTTTATTCTTTGCCAGATCCTTTATGTGACGAAGATATGTTTGAATCTTTGAATCTGAACCATCTGGAGATTTTGCGTTCTCATTTCTGTCACCATTTTCAGGCTTGTCTGTAGAAATCTTACTTGAAGAAATGGGAGCTTCTTTGGTAATACCAACGTGGGTTTTGCTTCCATTTTTGCTGTTTGTTGTATCGAGCGTTTCACTTGGTTGAGTAGTTGATGTTGTTGTACCAACTGAAACCGGCTTTGGAGGGGACGGCGCAGTCGTTGTAGATACTGGATTCTTCACAAATGTTGTCGCAGTAGAAACAGGAACGGGCTTTGTTGAAGCAGGGGCTGTACTTATAATTGGTGGCATTGGATGTGTAGCACTTATTGAAGAAGTCGTTGATGGAGTAGTTGGTCTTGATGAAGATTTTGTCTAAAATAAAGGTTCATATTTACGTCTAAAACAACAGATCATCATTGTTGAAAAGCTAAATATATGCAACAGTTTAATTTTGAAGGTTCAGCAAGTGCTTGCTAGTAGTATGAATGTTTTAAATTTATTGAGCACAATTTTATCAAACCAACAAGTTTTTTCATTGGCTAAGCAATGTATTAAGCTGGTCCACGCACCCAGCTGTAGGTAATGCTAAAACACACATGCCGCCGATATAATAGATATTGCAAAAGTTACCCTGAGCTGTATTTTATATAAAAGTATATTTTATTTATTTAATTACCGGTATAAGTCGTTTTAACTTGTGTTTGTTTTTCTGTTATAATCTAAATATTTTATTCATTTTAGCAGTAACACAAATTGAATCGTTCAGCTTGAAGACTTTATTAAAGTAAAAAAAATAGAAAGTGTTGGCTAGTGACTTTTTATTTTATTTCATGCTTAAAGTGCAGATCCCTCACAGCTTCATTTTCCCTGAAGTTTTATTATTAAGAGGGGACAAATTTCTTTTATATTAAGGAAAGTTTTTTTGCACAAAAATGGATACGACAGGTATTTTGACAGAAAAAAAGCTTTATTAAAACAAAATGAGCAATGTTTAACAAATATATCAAAATGAATGAGTAAAATCGATCAGGAAACAATAAATTAACCTTTAAAAAAAACAATATAAATCAACTGATAAAGAGAACGTTTAATTTGACTTCTAAGATGTCTTATTGTCTATCAACCCTTCAAATGTCTTTTAATTTAACATTTATTGAATTCATTTTAAAGGCAGAAATAACAGCCCCGCTGTTGTTTTCAGTATTACAACATAAATCAATCTCTTAATATATAACTCTGAAATATTCGACTAACAAGGAAAGAATTAGTGAAAATAACAAATTACATATTTGTAGGTTTAAGGAAATTACATTTTTTGTATGTGGAAGGCAATCACTAGTTCCTTTTAATGCACTTCCTCTGGAAAAGTATTTAAATGAGTCTTTAGAAAACAATCAAAAAGCAAGATGTTTTAAAATGAAACACGCGTTAATCAAAATCAAACAACTAATAAATGTATTAGTTGATATCGTTTACGATAAAACTGAAAATAATTAAGTCCATGCCAAGTCGTTATGCTCCGACAATGTATTGTTCTTCTTTTTCTTCTTCTCCTCGGGTGTAACTTTCCTCTTGCTTTTGTTGATGGAATGTTTGAAAACCAACCCCATCGTCACCAGCGCTGCCACTCCTAATCAGAAATATTGATAAATACTTTTACAAAATGTGAATTCATTTCAAGTGATATCTAATAATGCATCATACATCGATAATAAAAAAAAGTTTACAATTTTAATGTTAACTAACAACATTCAATCATCATGTCTTTATCTTTCCTTTATCCGATCCATTATAATTTAAACTAGAATAACCATTAGGTATTTAAACTAGAATTACCATTAGGTATAAACACTTACTCTAAAAATGAAGCAAATATCTGTATTTAAAAAAAAACACACACACACGTCTAAAATGAAGATGTTAAAAATCAAAAACCACAGAACTTCATCAAGAACACACAGGTTATTCAGAAATAATATAAGAATATAACTTAAATCTTAAAGTTAAAGCAAAATGGACGACGGGTATGGACATAAATCTTTAGTAAGACGCATTTGTTGACCAAAATCCAAACGTCTTGGTATGGTATCCAGAAATCAAATTAATATAATTAAAATAGTTTCAACGGATTAAACTTTTAAACATTGTACAGTACTAAAGCAAATCTCACCTATGAGTACTCCAGCAGACACACCAGAAGCTATTGCTGCGCCAAATACTTCCCCTTTGCTGAATGATTCGTCTTTGTTTTCACCAGATGGAGCTGCGGTTGATGCTTGTCCAGCGCCTTTTGAACTCGCGGATAATGCCGAAGCTTTCGCATTTGTTGCTGCTGATACTGTTGTTGTAGATGATCCAGATGGTGATTTTGTACCTGCTGCTGGGGCTGCATTGGTTGCGCTTGCAGCAGATACTCCAACTGGTGAAGATACAGTATTCTTCATACTTGTCGCTGCAACGGTTGCTCCAGGTTTATTTGTTGATGCAGATACGCTGGCAGAAGAAGCCGATGATGAAGGTGATGCTGTTAAAGCATTTGTCTTAGATGTACCAGCTGGTGATCCTGTTGTTTGTGTTGCTTTTGTGGACTGTGATGAGGAAGGCGTTGATGTTACTGTTGGAGAAGATGTACTTGGAGTGGTCGATGTTGTTGTTGTTGTAGAAGTAGTTGTACTTGTTGACGTTGTCGTCTGTATAGTCATTTAATTTATACATGTATATATAATTTCATAACTTTAAACTATAAAAAACTTATGCGGTAAAGCAATAATTTATGCCCTAAGTATATGTATATGCAGGGCGCTTATTTCCAAAATCCAGACATTTAAAGTGTTTCTTTTGAAAATTACTTTTGAAAAAACGAACGTGTGTGTCAAGCATTTTTGACTGTATCCGTGCATGCATAAGTTTTTTTTCGGTATGTCATTGACTAAATCACATACATATTTTGGATTACTATTGCATAACTTTTAACAATAATTCATGAAATCAAAATTAATTTTCGTTCGCATACAATGTATTTGAAGTGGACATACTTAAATATTTTGCCAGCACTGCACAAATAAAAACAAATATATGACATGTAAACACCACCATCATTATCGTGAACATTAGATATGAAAGAGAGAGTGCACTTAAAATTCTCTCTTGCAATGGCAAAATTAAGTAACAAGAATTTGGGAGCTCCAATAAAAATGGATTTGTTCTATGTAATTAAATCAAGGATAAATTGATATTTGCCGATTTAAAAGAGGCATTAGTAACATACAAAACATGCAAAATAAAGGATATTAATAAATCTATTACGTACAGTCTGATTTCGATCGACGATGAAAGTTTTCATAACTGACGGTCCATCAGTTTTTTTACCAGGAATATAAGGTTTGGCCGTTATCGTCACGTCCCTGCAAAAAAAGTATTCCTTTACATCCGCTGGTGCAGGTAATATGCCTTTATATTATTATATTGACGTTGAACATTTATTTTATCCGCATATTCACCGTGTAGTTTCCATAACACATGAATATGAATAACGCAGGAATAGTACAGCAAAACTAGCGCCGAATCTGAACATCATATGATATTAATGAGTAACGAGGTAAGTAAACGAACACGTATATTTTAAAGTAAATCAAATTGAACATTTTTTCAGAACAGTGTTTACTTTTTAAGATAAGTTTGAGAATGACAACCTGGCTACCGTGTTATAGCGCATGTAATGTTTCGTCGATATCAATTACATCGATATCAATTAGTAAAAAAGAGTATTGTCCAACAATATTGACCTGGCACTTCATTAATATTCGGAAAGGTCATATGAATAGACTTTGTTCACTCGTCAGTGTGAAGTGTGGTGTGTTGGTATAGATGTCGTCTACCGATCTGAAGGTCTCTGGTTCGAAACCTAACCAACACCAAGTTATGATTTTTTTTAATTCACTTCATGTACTTGCAAAAATTTATTTGAAATCGTTTTACTATACCTGGTTTTAGAATACCTTTTTAGTGGCGTTTTTATGCACAATTATATCTTTTTCTAATTATAGTATCTTTCAACGGTTCTATTTGTGACGTTATGCAATCGTATATGCTTAAGCGCATACACGCTATAAAGGCAGTTAATTAAAAATACTACATAAATAGTACACACAATAAAAAGGTTTTCAATAGTTTAAAGAGAATTGCAATTTCAAAATTAAAATAAAAAATAAAATCGCTGAAGTAGGATTTGAACCTACCAGTCTACGTCTAAATTCTTCAAGTGAAAACTCTTTACCAACTGCGCTAAGAGGGATTTATAATTTACACCATTTTAACAATTGGATATTTACATTCATGTCGATTTACAAGTAGATCGTAACGTTTACGGAATATACCCACTACAGGGTCAAATGCAAGAGTGCCAGGTCAATGTTGTTGGACAATATATAAAACTTTTTTTTTTTTAATTTTCTGTCTACCCGAGACATTTGCCGATCTTCTGGTATCGTATAACTTCAGATCCTTTGTTATCAAGTTGTAGGTGCTGCACATGGGGAAGGTAAGGCAAATGTTTCGTATAAACCGGATATCAAAAACAATATTGTTATATATGCAATATTGAATTAATCAATATTGTCGAAACACAAAAAAACAAGAATGAATATCAACAAGGCAATGACAACGTTCAAGGATGCAGCCCCTCGACACACCTAAGTAGGGCATCCAGAAGGCACCAAACCATTTTAGTCATATGTTCAACACATCTTTCGTTACTATTGAACACTTCCTGCGTTATTTTCACATTCCTGTGTTACGGGTATGACTCGGTGCACAACAAAGTATATTCCGAAACTAAACGTAGTATTTATGTATTGTTCGTATATATCATAAATATTAGTTTACAATTAATAAATAAATAAAACATTTGTAAAGTATCAACATATTTCTTTCTTCTATATCTTACGTACGTTGAAACTCCAAATAAACCGCCAGTGATAACAAACTTCCCGGTGTAGTTTTGACCAGGTGTTAATGCTGCAGAAATTATTGTTGGTGATTGAGCAAAGCCCTGGGTATCCTGAATTTTTACATCTATTTCTTGGTCTTTTGAAAGTTCGTTTTTTACATAAAAGATCAACTCCAGTTGAGTGTTCTCGTACAGTTTAACACTTGCATCTGTCAATGTTAGATATATATGTTTGAATTATTTCTATTAGAAAGGGAAAGTGAATAATTGCTTTAATTATATTATCTCTAGGTTATCAAATAACACAAATACATGTAGTATCACTACTTAGTTCTGGAACTAACATAGTGTTTGTGTATGCATTTGTATTCATTAGCGTCTGACTGTTCTTTATATGTAAAACATGGATAGCGATGTAATTCTTAATTCATAAATGAAGAAACCAGTTTATTGTATCAGAAAATACAGATTTTAGTACATTTAACTTGGTACATATGTTGGTAAATGTTCAGTTTTATGTATATGAATGGACTTTTATGAAAATATAACAAAGCACTTTCACCTTGTCTATACTATTGTCTTGTTCATTCGTTATTTGATTAAACATTGGTATATTTATTGCTTGAAAAAAAAATATAGCATACCATTAAACGCAGGCACTGAAAGCGATAGAGCTTTCGGTTTTATTGTTTTGATCCGACGGAAAAAATGCCCAGAGTTATCCTTCCCATTTATTCCTATCATAAAGTCCTGAAAATCAAATCTCATAAGTTTTATTCTTACAATAGAAAATCATGCTCAAAATCTGGTTTTATGTCTAAAATTGGGCGAATCGTGTTTAAAACTGGGCGATTATATTATGTATAACTAAAAAAAGAAAGGTTAAAGATCTTGGATGTTGAAATTAAGGATGTTACATAAAGTAAACTGAACATATGTACAAAATATCAGTTTCCTTCCAACACAATTTAAACGTCCAAAAATGTGTTAAATTTATAAAACAAGACGTTATCAAAAATGTATTTCTGATAACCTCTCTTTATTTATATCTTAGTGAGATTATGCTATTTATTTTATTTATATCTTAGTAAGATATGCTATTTATAACTTGTGATATTGATTATTCTTCATTTGAGCATCAGGTTCATCATATAAGACCATAAAATATTTAAAATATAGGTACTTGTTGATATTTTTCTCTACCAATATTCTAATCAGAATTTACCTTGTCAAGCATTTGCAGCTTAGCAACTTCGTATTTCCCAATTCCTTTGTCTATCGGAAACATCATATTTGCCGGTGTTAATCTCTCCATTATAAACAACTGTACAATATCAACTGAAGCAGCTTTTGTGAAGTCCGCAACAGTTAACACTGTCTTGTAGGTCTCGCCTGTCATTAAATAGAATATGATGCATTAATTTGAAAAAGTTATACAGTCAAAAAGAAAATGGAAGAAATATGTACAAGTATTTCACCTGTAAAAATGTGAGTATATTTCTTTCTGTTAAACCTGTAAGATAAAAACCTTCAAATAAAAATAGATGGTTACTCAAAATCCGACCAAACGGAAGAAATGCAGTTCAGTAAAATGAAGACAAAGGGTTTAAACAATAGCTCATTTCCATAGTAGGATGCCAGCTGACAATTCCCCTTGCAACCTCTACTCACGATCAAGCAAGTAAAAGGACTTCTAGTTCGTTCCAGTTTTCTGAATCAGGGTAGGTTTTTAAAGTATTTTGTTCACAACAGAGCTTCCATCTTAGATCGGTTGGGTGAGTATTGTGAACAAAGGGAATAACTTAGTGTTCCTAGTGGTTTGAGATCCTTTATCGCATTTATTTACAAATAAAATAATATAATATGTCTATGGTTAAGTCCAAAACTATGACAGGACACAGATGTACTGAGTACCAGTCCAACATAACTTTGTTTTGAACTGTCTTATACTTTGCTTAATTTTCGCCTTATACAAACTTCTAACATGGTTTATAAATGCTTATGATTTGAAGATGAAATATATCATTTACCTTGTATTGGATCTCCTGTAAGTGGGACTTGTATAAAACTCCCTGATAAAAACTGATATGTAAAATCCAGTGAACTTTCTCCTTGAATTTTTACATTCCAAGTGTTTGCATCAAATTTGTTTAGCTTCCATATTCCATAATCTGCCTGCATTTTTATTAAATATTAAATTACATAAGCGCTTAATACTAAAACTAAAAAAACGCTTTTCAGAAAACGTTAGAATAAACGACCATCTAAATTTCATAAGCTTTGCTGAAATTCATAACTTTTTCAACGGTTATTTATCCTTATTCACCATCAAATGAAATTCAAACAAATATCTGATTTAACTTGGAAAAATCATGTCAATTAGATACTGTAATCTTACAAGAACATACGCACAGCATCAAATGCATTGTGGAAATATCATTCATTCATTGAATAAAAATAATTGTCAATGGGATATGTGTATGAGTGTTTCCATATTTTATCATCATAGCCACTTCTTGTAATGGAGAAACAAATAGGAACATTTCACATATAAAAAAATCGTTTCAAAACTTTTAATTAAAAAACAACTTGGGTGAAATATGACAAAGCTTTCTAATTGGCTTACCGATGTTATAGCAACGTCAATTGTCGCGGTTACTGTTCCAGCACTGGCTGTTCCATTTAGTTTTGGATGAGGTCCTGGTAAACCTGCATACAATTATGTTAACTTTATCAAATGGCAAATTATTTTAAAATGTTAGCCCGAGTTTTAAGCAAGAATATGTATGTACATGTATCTTAGTTTGTATCTTACAATATCGTTAGTTTACCAAAATAAATATTGAAAAAGACATGTTCTTGACAAAGTGGTATTAGCTAACCGTCAAAAAGAAACTACCTCTCATATATTTTGCATAACTGCAAATCTTTGGAAATAAAGCAGTTTCATCCAGTGCAACATTTTATTTAAAAAAAGCTTAAGAAGCAAACTCGTTTTAATTGATTTGCCCTAGATTGTTTAAATTCGAAGTGAAGTGTCAAAAAGACTTACAAAACTGTAAAATATATTGTCACGTAAGGTATATTGTGTTTATTTACCTGAGGGTTTTGCTAGCATTATTACAGGGCTTGATCTTTCAACTTTAACTTCTATAGTAAGTTTTGTCATTGTGCTGTCAACATACACAGAATATGCTTTTCCAGGAGCTGAGCTGTCTGTGAACATGCTGATATCTACAAGGTTTGACGTGCTTCTCTGGAAGATAATTCATGCTACATAAAACTGCAACGTTACTTTTAACTAAACTGAAAATGAAACTTTTTTGTTTTCGTATTATCAGCCATGTATTTATTATACATTTATATTGAACGTTTTACTTAAAATGCTATTACGACAAATTTATTATTTATACTGTGTTTTCTTACCTTGGAAATGGTGTGCTGTGACAAACGACTGTTGAGCATTTGACCCAAACCTGAAAGTACACATCATTATATGATAAAAGGTCTCATTTTATGACAAAATCTAACATATCTTCATTTTACGGGACCAAGCTTTTAAGTTTTTATTGAAGCATCCAACATGTATGCGAATCAAAATTATCGTTAACGTATAACTCATCTTTTCTAAAAAATTTAAAAGTAATGTTTTAAATGTACTCATATTTTAACCGTGTATTAATAAATACGAACTTGAATTGGAAACGCTAGCGTTGTTAAATCAATACAGTCATATATCAGACACATCATCTAATCTACTTTTTTTCTTGGTCGCTTTTTGTGCTGTGAAACTATGACATGCTGCTGACGAGAGAATAGAACCAGAATGAGATCTTCTTTCCTAGGCGCTAGCTGAACTTGCACATTTTGTATATACCATTTTGAACGAAAAAACAAATGCCAATAACGCAAAATGACCAATGAAACACACAATTGGCTTGATAGGTGAGAAATTTAAGCAACAGGTATCATCCATGCTGTTGTTACAGAAACCCAGTACTTATAGACCTTTGACATTTTATTTAAGGTCATTCAATGAAGCCCAACTGTGACGAAAGTTTGAATCACAGTCTTTGGAGGTAACTATGTTTCATATTAGGAAACACGGTCGTGAGTATGACTTGAACATGTCATACATGGATTAGAACAAACACTTTAACAGCTGGACAACGACTCCCTTAAATAAGCATAGTATCAAGACTGGCTAAATGGTTTCTCTTAAATTAGATACTTGGTGTAAAAAATGACAATAAGGTATTTTAATTCTACTGAGTTGACCTTATTGTTTTTATTTTATCTTCATATTTAGAAGGCAATATAGAAATGTAATTGTTCGTTCAAGGACATCAAATTGTACGACAAATGTGCAACAAACGTGAAAAGAAATCCAAAAACAACCAAACGACTTAAACAAATCTTGAAACTTCACCAAGCTAACAAGTTTTACATCGGCAGTGCGTTTAGCTGGGCGTTTTTTTTTGCTTTTACTTCAAACAAACCGGTTGCCAGATATATAATTTAAGTGTCTAATCATACAAAACAAAGTCTGAAACATGTTATTCGCCCGACTTATAAGTGTTATTCAATGTTATCCATGATCGAGTGATAATCGTTTCAGGAAAAAAAATCTAAATAAGAATGGTCTGAATTACGGACTTTATTGACAGATGTTTCCGTTGATTTCGAATGAACTAAAGAGTCCAATAAAAAGTATATGTTGATTATATGTTTTACAATGAAGGCGCGTGCAAACCGTCCAATCTAAAGCAAAGTTTTTAATAAAGCATACAATATGATATTCCTATGTATATAATTCCAGCGCAAACATTTTGAATGGGATATAAAAAAAATCATTTCTTAGAGGAAACTTCCGTCCGTATTGAGTAACCCTTTTGAGTCATATATTTTAATGCTTGAAGAAATACGTAAAAATGACTTGTTAAAGTAATCTTTTCACCAAGCGTATCAAAATCGTTACAAGACAGTATCATTTCCATGGTAAAGTCACACACGAAATGTATTGATTTGGTTGTATTGAAACATGCAAAACGATAAAAAATGTAAATTTCAGAAAAACAGTATTTATGAATACATAAATCTTTACATTGCTTTTTAAAATTAATAGATAATAAAAACATCTTTTTTAATTTTAGAAAGTGAAGGAAAGAAAATGTCACCTTGTTGTAGGTCATAGCCCGGGTTCAGTTCTGCTCTGGAAGACGAAATAAAAATCAGAAGGAAAGAGCAGCATAAAATTGCTCTAAACATAGAATACTCCATTCTTATCTCCTTTTTTTTAAACTGTGTAACAATTTGTTTTTATTTATTTTCGAAATCGAAATATTTCCTGTGAGCTCAGTCCTTAACTTTTATTATTCAAATCAATGTCTACATTTTATTTTCGAAATGTCGAAATATATAGATCTTTTTTATTCAAGATCAATTCGAAAAGTATCCGATCATTTGAACAAACGCAACAATTTAAATTCCTCGAAATCTCGTAAAGCCTCGTTTTGGACGAGACACGCACAAGGGTAAAATGTCAAACTTCTCCATTTAAAAAAGTTATTTTTATCGATCATACGATTAGGTATTAGATTTTTAAAAAGTAATACTGTTTAATTTTGACATTTTCTCGCCTTGGTTTACATTTATGCCACAACATCTGCGTTCTAATGGTAATATTTCAACTGGGGTACTGTAAGGACACGAACATAACAACTGCATTAAGAAATTTAAGTAGATAAGTACTTTCGGACAAATAATCTAGATTTTTAAATGCCTTTAATTGATGACAAACAAAAGTTGAATAATTTCGACGTCTTATTAGTTTCATAGTTTCTTCAGATAATCTGACAGTATGTTTTGACATTGTTTCAATAATTGACCTAGATTATACAGTGATATCCGGTGACACCTTGATAGCTTGATTTATTTACAGTACTATGGTGGGACAAATATCTATTTTTCCAGATCATTTTCAATAAATTAATTCTATTTATATAAATACAAGTTAAAAGGATATATAAAATATACAAGCAATTATTTTATATCCATTTAATACTTTAAAAATGTGAGTATGATAGAGGTTTGTAAAAAGTGACTTCTTTTGTGCTTCACCTGCAATAAACATGCCTTTCACGAACTATAGGACACAATTAATAAATTAATATTTTTTACACAGGTATCTTTTCACTTAACATAGAAATGTAGAGAAATTAGAAAATATAATGATTTAATAATAGGCAGTTACATGGGAACACAATAATAAAAAGCAAGGGTTTAAAAAGTTACATTGGAACTTTGATATTAAAAAAGGGTGTTTGTTTGTTGATCTTAAGGTAATTTCTTCTCATTTTGCCCTTGGAGACATGATCAATATTGAATGTCTATTACAAGAACAATTAATTGTAATAATCTGTATTAAAATGTTTGCCAAATTCATTGAAAATCATGCACTTCCTCTTCAAAATTGCTTAAACATCAGATTCGACATCAAATGATATATAAGTACCATGCTTATCAGCTACCCGTGAGCTTCTTTCACTTTTTTTCCTGTCGTATATCCGATAAATTGTTCGAGAGATGTTTGTTTGCGAACCGGTTGCCAACTGCGCTGTTATTAAGCACGCGGAGAAAGTTATCCGGGTACTTAGGTCAATTCAATTCAGATAAAGTTAAAACGTACAAATGTGAATTTGAGAGTATATTCTAAACGAATTTTTGTATTATCATGTAAAGTTACTTTGTGGGAGACTAGGACTAGACTTAATGGTATATTTTTTGTACAAATCACTTATGACAGCCTATATTTATCTGCATGATGCATTAGAGTATCAACATCTGGTTGAAACTTTTGGAGTGTTAAAATGATTAAATATAAATATGGCAATAAAAATAAATTGATAAATGTAATACAGCAGAAGCTACAATGTCATCCGCTTTACTTTCATTTTAATGACATTGTTCAGCAATATTTGATATTTATTAAAATAACATAAACCAGTCACTTTACTGTGTCCGGTACGAGTATATTGCATCAAATATGATGGTTTAAAGCATATATGTTTAGATATTAAAATACGGCTATTATCAATCGCATATTATCATAAAAAACGGCACAATATTTTGTTTGTTTTAAGTTCCTTTCGTTAACGATTATAGTTTGGACATTTTCGTTCACGAAATTGTTGTTGTACTGTTACGAAAAGGAGTTCTTTTCGCAATTTATAAATATCATTTTAATTGCTTAATATAAAAATATTTTATAACACACAATATAAAAAATAACACATAAGACTACGGTGAATATAATTTACTTTGTTTTCAGTTTTGATACACTGATAGGAAGTAAGAATAGACATGATAAGTTCAGCAGTAAAATTGTCTCACACTGACATAATTATGTTTGCATTTTTTACTTTTTGAATTAACCCTTTTTGGCTTATTTCAACATTTTGACCAGATGTATATTAAATTAATATCTTTGTTTTCTTTCAATTAAGAAATAAGTACGTAGTCATTGATATTATATAGGTTTTTTTTTCACTTTTGCATAATCAAAGCAAACCACTTGTGTTTCTATAATGCTCGGAATTGTTTGTACATATTCACCAACAGGTCAGTTCATGACGGAAGAAACGTAAAAGGAAATGTAACGTTCAAAGAACTACGAGTTAGGCAATATTTATAAACAGAACTTCTTTAAAATAAATCTTATTTCATTTCACTTGAAAATCATTCACTAGAAACTTAGTAAAATATTATTGTAGTTGCTAGTGGCAATTGAAATATTAGAAATTATTTATCACTGATACACTTAAACACCTGAGATCATTCCATGTACAGTGTTTCAGCTTTCAAGCTACCAGTATTTACTAGTAGTACTATTAGTATAATAGTATATGTTGTTTATAAGCCAAAGTAATAACAAAGTAATTTTTACATTTTTTACATTAATAATGGCTTAAGTAAAGTAATGAATGTTGGTATGATTTAATTACACAAGATGTCATCTTGACAGACCTATAAGCCACTTATATAGACCGATGGTCCTTAACTGAATAACGTTTATTGTTCCCTTTTTTATGTTTTATTATTCAAAAGTTCTCGGCCCGATATATTTCTATTCTAGCCACTACACTGACATTTACACACGATACGTCGATACTGATATATTATTTAAGATTACTGACCGAGTAACACGCGGTTTTACACAGATTAAGTAACATAACACATACTTTGATCAGTAGAGGGGTGTGTCATTTAGACCAAATGGAGAAAGTTGAAATAAGTACCTCTGTAAGAAAGGATGACCCCCAAGGAAATCCATGAAGACTTCATGGATACACTTGGGAAGGAGTCTCTTTCCTATATCACTGTGAAAAAATTGGATGCTGAATTTAAGAGGGACAGGGAGAGCATTGGAGATGATGAGCGGCCTGGGCGACCAAAAGAGGCCACCGACGATGAAACTGCCGAAGCTGTGTAAGATCTGGTCATGTGCGACAGAAGGCGAGACCTGCGAAGCATTGCTAGGGAAGCGGGTATAAGCTTTGGTTCTGTTCAGGCAATTCTGATTGATGTCTATGGAATGTTAAAGGTTTCCGCTAGATGGGTACCCAGACAGTTGACTGACGACCAGAAACGGACCAGGCTTGACATTTCAAGATATCTTCTTCTACGAGGATGAACCTGATTTTATCTACCGGATCGTTACTCAGGATGAAACATGGGTTCATCACTTCAATCCTGAATCCAAAAAAACAGAGCATGCAGTGGAAGCACCCTGACTCACCCCCTCCAAAGAAATTCAAGAGGGTGCCATCAGCAGGAAAGATGATGGCTTCAATTTTTTGGGATAGTCAGGGGATAATCATGATTGACTATCTTGAGCAAGGTCGTACCATGAACGTTGCGTACTATACAGACTTAAAGCGTTCTGCTCCTGCACGACAATGCGCAAGCTCACACATCCCAAGTTGCGATGGCTGCTGCAATTGACTGCAGCTTTGGAATTCTTCCCCATCCCCCATATTCTTCGGACATGGCCCCCTCTGACTTCTACCTGTTTTAGAAACTGAAAAGCAAGCTTCGTGGTAGATATTTGGAAACAATGAAAGTGTCATGGAGGCGGTCAATGAGTTCTTTGAGGACCAAAATAGAGATTTCTATTTTGAAGGGTTAAACAAGTTGGAGCACATGTGGGCAAAGTTCATTGATGTAGAGGGCGATCATATTGAAAAGCATAAGTTGGGTTCTCTGACTACCTGAGGTACATTGGGCCAAGAACATTTTGATCATTCCTTGTATAGTGGGTGTTAACTTAACCATATCCGCACACAGATACTGTCTTTGGTTGTACAATTGTATTTAATGTGGGTAGATGAATAAGACAAATATATTATACAATCGCAACTCAAAGCTAAATTAGCTGTTCGCGTAAACATTAAATCTGCTTTCGCGTTCCCTTAAGCTTTGTAAAAAAAATGCGCACGTGCACAACTGCTAGTGTGGGTTAATATGTAATGCAATATGGTCAATAAATTTAAGAAAAGAGAAAATATTTTACCATTTTCTATTTCAACCCTTTCAAATAATCACCTCCTACAGAGATAAATAGTTTCAGAAGTTAAATTCAATTTTAAACGCTTCAACACAGTCCTCCTTAGATATACTTTTCAATAACTAAACAATGACCAAGGTCCATTTCTAGCGATGATGTAGCGATGACTTGCAAGATGTTTTTTATCTGTCTAGGAAAGTCACAAGATGTTAAAGGACAATCACTCGTTTTTTGTTTGTTTTTGTTGTTTTTTTTTTGGTTTTTTTTTTTTCTAAAATATCTGAAAGAACGGCCTCTAGAAACAGGAATTTGGACAACAATTCCAAATATATTGAAAAACAATTAGGTACAAATTTTCTTGAAACTTTGCTAATTGCTTAGCAATGCATGGTCGGCGAAGATTTTTGGTTGCTCAATTCTTATTGTTACACCCGCGAACTGGCGTAAAATAGTGAATTAAACAGGAAACATTTTCAGTAATTTTCGAGTGCATGTAACCGCATGTCGCTCTTTCTTCTGGTCTGATGTTAGAAAATGGGGTATCCATCTGGCAGTTATTTGTCGAACATTCAAGGGATTCTTCAGAATGGTATGGATTAACCCTTTTTATTTCCCTGATCTGGTAATTGAAAGTCTGAAATCTTTGTCAATGATCAGCTTGACTTTATGAGTGTTTTTGTCAGTAACTATTCTGCGTTTTCTATCAGACTTACAAGCATTTTTAATTGACTCGTGCCCATTTTTGAATTTATGCATCTACCTCGAAACAGTGCATAAGGTTTTTGATTGTTTTCGTGAATATAACAAATATCATTATAATCATTTATGGCATATTTTCCTAGGTTTGCACGAGTTTTTATGTAAGCCCTTATATCAGCCAGTATTATACATTAAGTTATGTTTGATGAGATTTTCAACACTATTGTTAAAAAGGTTAATAAAACTAAACTGTAGTTTGCTTGGTTTTTAGGCGGACGGCAAAATATTTTTTACA